TTCCTTCCAAGCCCTCCCCCCCCTCCCTCACAAACAACCAAGGACATAATCAGCGTACCTCCTGAGCAGCTTTTGGTGGTAGTCCTTGGCCGCCTCCACACTCTCGGCCACGGTGTGAGCGTGTTCCTTGAGGGCCTGTCTGTTCTCCATCAGCCGCTGCACGTCCTCCAGCTGGTGCTCCTTGTGCTCCGCCAGGACCGCGATCCTGGGGACACATACACACAGGAGAGGGAGGGGGGGGGAGAAGGTGTGATAATGAGTTTAGTTTAGTTAAGAGTTTTACGGCACTTGCAACACATTAGGGCCATAGAAGTGCCGAAGATTAGAGGTGTTACAAGAGAGTAACAGCAAACGTAAAAAAGAAGGAGGAGAGATAAGGACGATAGATGTTTAAGAGGAAAGAAGGAGCAAACCACACCAGAGCACCCGTCAACCACCCACGTGATAATGAGGGGGGGTGGGGATGAATGGATTGTGCATACCGATATGTGTGAGCAGAAGAATGTGTACATGTATTCATGTGGATGTGTGCGTGCTTGAGTATATATATTATATATTCTGACCTGCCACTCTATGAAATCTAAAGATCAGGATCTCAAGGGGAAAAAATAGGGATCTGGCCCCCAAAAAAATTCATTATCAACTGCAAATCCAGGGTGACTGCCAAGCGGACTTCTTAAAAATTTTCCAGGGGTGTACATAAATATAATATACGTATATATATTTGCCCTCTGTGTGTTTACGTGTGTGAGAGTTTTATCATCATAAAAAAAAATCCTGAAGCATCACATCAAGCGCGTCTAGTCTAAGTGACTTAACCCCCCCCCCCCCCCCCAAGTCCTGAAAGAAGCTTCGACCAGTGTGCATGAAGACACACCCGGAACTCACACACTGAAGTCATGTCACGTGATGTGAACGTGTGACTGAAACAGTTGTACTGACGGGTCTTGATGGCAGGCCTAACTAAACAGAACTTGGACGGAGCTTGCGTAGTAAGTAACAGCAGAAATACGAATAATATCGATCATTTGTATTTCGCGATTGTAACAGTTATCAGGCCATCATCTGAGAATTCTGAGGGGTAACAGAGTAGATCTTAAGAGTACCCCAAGTCAGAATGCCAAATCAACACTACTTTGATTATAGTAGAAATAACACGTGCGGGCAAAGATCCAACACTACTTGGTGGAGTCAACTTGTAAATCCGGCATCCATATTTAGGAAAATAAATGTCCCGAGCTCCTGCTGAAAAAAAAAAAGATTAAAGGGAGCTTCCCATGACAAAGAAGTAGGCAGAGTAACTATTTAGAAAATCCGGTGCAACAGACGGAACAAACAAAAAAATAATCAAGAATCACCCAATCAAAATTGGGAAAATCGGGATGCTTGAGATTTGGGGCAAAAAGTCGGGATATCCCAATTAAATTTGGGATGAGTGGCAGGTCTGTAACATGTGTGAGTGTGTGTCTACGTATCAACTCACCTCGTATCAATCTCCCGGCGTGCGTGGTCCTGCCTCTGTATGTACTCCTCCCTCAGGACCTGTGTGGTTCGACTCAGCAGGCGGAAGCATTCTTGCTGACTCAGCTCCGCGCTGCTGCTGGACCTGGTCAGAAACACATTGTTTTAGTAAGTGTCTTTTTCTTCTTTTTTTTAAAGGTAAGTGTTTTAGGGCACTCACAACTGCATAGGGTCATAGTCATATGAGCGGGCAGGACATATTAAGCATTTTCAGTTTGGCAGGAATTAATTTTGAAATTTGCCTGGATGGCGGCCGAAGCCCACTCTTATTCATTTTAGGACCACCAAGGGATCTTTTACGTGCGCAATTTGCACAGAGGACCTCCAAATTTTTTTGGACTTATCCAAGAACTCTAGGTGTTAGATCTTACCTACCGTAAGATCAGGGTTGTGGCTGAAGAACGAGCCAAGGAGTAGCTGTAGAAAAGCTGCAGAAAGAATCAGGAGCCCAGAGGAGGGGGCTGGGGGACAGGTAGGGGACAGAAAGTGCTGACGAAAGCAAATGACAGAACATGTTTAGTTTTAGCAAGTGTTTTACTTTAAGGTCATATCAGTGCCGAAGATTAGAGGTGTTACAAGAAAGTAACAAACAGAAAAAAGAAGGAAGAGGGATAAGGACGATAGAGGTTTGATGGGAAAGAAGAAAGAAGCAAACCCCACCACAGCACCTGCCAACCACCCACTGACAGAACATGGTAAGAGAGTAGAAAAGGAGGTAAAAAGAGACAACATTAGAGAAAAAATTTTTCCGTTGTCGTCAGGTATCCAACCCGAGACAACAGAAATAATTATCTCTCATTTAAGCAGTGGGATTGACATCTTCTTCTGCAGTCAAAAATACAAACACACACATACACACAGAAATACAGAAATAACCATTTCTCACTTCAGCAGTGGATTTGAGGCCTTCCTCTGCAAGAGGTTGGCGATGTGTTGACTGAACGGCTCTCGTGAGTGACGTCGCAACGGCGAGGTAACACTGACACCACAGATGTCACCTGACAGACCCATCCTGTACTGCAAGCTGGTACAGAGAATAAAAATAAAAATACAAGTTTCAGGCAAGTCTGAGTTTGTAGTTTAATTTTAGAAAAAGTTTTACAGTATTTGCAGCACAAAGAGGTCATGTAAGTACCGGAGATTCAAAGGGTTACTACTAGAGAGGAAATAAAAAATAAAAAAGGTTTGTTTTATGTTTAAGTAAGCATTTCATGGCAATTGCTACACAAATAGGTTTATAGGAGTGCCGATGGTTCTAGGTGTTACTACTAGAGTGTTTGTTTGTCTTGTTTTTGTAAAGTGTTTTACGGCGCTCGCAACTGCATAGGTCATATGAGCGGGCGGGACACACCTAATATTTTCAGTTGGTAGGAAGTTTTGAATTTTACCCGGGTGGCGGCCGAAGCCTACTCTTATCGATTTTAGACCACCAAGGAATCTTTAACGTGCGCAACTTGCACACGGACATCCGAGATTTTTCGCCCTTGTCCGAGAAGGCCAGGTGTAGATCTTTCCTACCAGAAGATC